CGGGCGGGGGGGAACGTCTGTCGGGCCTTACGGGAGTATTTACGGAGAGAAACCGCAGAGCAGGGGGAGACCCCAGGTCTTCTCCTCCGCCGGTTTGCGTGCCGTCACACACGCTCGGCCGGCGCGTCCCCTGCCGCTCCCTTCAGCTTTCAGACGTGCGAGACTTTCGAGAGGGGACACATTAACAGGATTAAGGAATCGCTGACTGCGAAAAGCTACCTTTGAAAGCCCATGTTGGAGAAAATAGCGTTTCTGTTCATAACGCCTTGCGAGGGGACGTGCTTTTGAACCCATGGGGACTGATTGCTGTACCTGTAGTAATCCTCCTTGCAGTAAATACTGCCGTCCTTGGCAAAGCAGGTGAGTTCTGACTCCAAAGCCAGTTTACATTCACAGCATTTAAGACACCTGAGGTGCCATTGTTTGTCAACAGCCAGCAGGTAATATCTGTCTGAGATCTTCCCTCCACAACCAGCACACAAAGCAGGCTTCTCGGGGCTCATGGGGGGCATGTTCTGCAAAACAACCACACCACAAGGGGATGAGACAGAGAGGGAGAGGCAGGCAGGCAGCAGGCAGGCAGGCCGGGCTGGGGACGAGTCCTGCGCGGAGCCCGGGGCTTTGTGCGAAGAGAAGGAACCGAGCTGTCTGCTCCCGCGGGAGAACTGAGGGGGCACCGGGACCATCCCCACTAGGAAACTATTTATCGCGATTCAACTTTCATGTTTACCCCATTAAAACCTCTCCTAACGATCTAGTGTCATTTCAACACATGAAGGCAACTGATTAGGCCTCAGTAAGAAAACCAGAGCCCGTTCTTTTCTGAGGTCCCGAAGTTGAAGTCGGTAAACCTTGGCGTTTTAATCTTGAGGCGCGCCACAAGAACGACACTTTAAAGTACAAAAATACCTGTTTGCTGCACCAAAAGTTTATGGCAGAGGGTGCTGGTTTGCAGCGATTTCCCGGTAAATTTTCACCCGTGCTAAAACCAGACAAAGCCTCGTCTCTAAAGAAAACCGGGCCACTTAAACCAGAAGTAAGATACAAAGCAAACAGGTGAATGGTGTAAAGAGCAGTGGGCGCGGACACTCGCCGCCCCGGCCAGGGACCCGGGCAGAAAGGTGGCCCAGGCTGGTTTCATCGAAAACTGGCATCTTCTCACCAGCAAACTTCTGCAAGTTTCCATTAATCTGCTCCCCACGAGGAGTGTCGCCCGGGACAAAGGGAGACGGAGGGGCGGCGGAGACAAAAGCTCTGCCGTGAAACTTGGGGCAGCGATTGCTGATAAACTAGCGGGGAGGCGAAAAAACAACAAAACCCACGAACCTCTTGCTCTAAAGTCGCAACTGTTTTAAAGTGGCAGCTCCGCATTCACTTTCCAATCTGGAGTTGTGTTCTTCGCCCCCCCCCCTTTTTTTTTGCAGCAATTGAAAAGGCGAGTTGAATTTACATTGCAAATCCTCATATAACAAAGCGGGGGTTTATTTAAGAGAAGGGGAAGGACCCTGTGGCTCAAAGCCTTAAAGCAGCGTTCAAGGCCGTTACTTTGTGTGCAGAGCCTTGCGCGCCATCGGCGGAAGCCCTACAAGTTGGAGAAAGGGAGATCTCGCTTTGCACAGAACACAGCGTGACACTCGGGTTCTCCGCCAGCCGTTAGTACTTTTAGGAGGATTTTGGTGCTCGGACTAAGGAAAGAGGAGACGCTGCTGCTAAGCCAAGCAGTCGGTGGGCATAACGCTCAGGGAGCGCCCTGCCTCTTTGTATCGGTCCCACGCTTCAGACCAAAAATGGTTACGAGAAGTAAGCGGTCGCGGTTTGCGGTTTAATTTAGGAGGTGCCAGGAGTGCAAAAAAGTAAAGTACACCTCAGAGAGTGCCGCTGCAGCCCTGCCGAGTCGGGGCAGAGCGGCCGCCGCGAGCCCAGCAGGGCCAGAAGGCTGCTTCTCTCTAAGGACCGAAAAACCGTCCCCGTGAGGATTTAAAATATTTTCCCCATTACTCTAGAAAGCACAGGCACTGGCGTTGAGCAGACCAAGGGTAACAGCCTGACCAGCTCGGCACCCAGCGATACGGGGGGACTTACAGGAAGCCTCGGGAGGGTCTTTGCAGGGAAGGGGCAGGGGCGAGTAGCGCCTTTCTCTCCCGCAGCGCCAAGCTCTGTCCCTCTGCGGGTCCATGCTTGCAGGGATTCCCTTTCAAAGAGTGCCAGCTCCGTTCTTACCGTTTCTCGGCCGTTCATCTGTCCGCCTTTGGCCAGGCGGGACTCGGTCTTGGATCGCCTCTCCATCTCCTCCATGATTCCTTGGATATGGCCTCCGGAGATCCCGTGGAAAAGCATGGCTGGGGGACGGAAAGGACAAGTATTTTCTTCTGCTCTGCACCCCACTATTTCCATATACAGACCCCAGAGTCTTTAGATCATCCAAAATGTTTACACCGAAGCGCACAGCGCAGGGAGGGAGGTTGCAATAGGAGCTTCTCTTTGCACAAGCACCGAGGGCGTCCTGAAGATGTGCAGAAAACAAACAAGGGGGAGAAAATGTGATAATAATTAATTTTAAAAATAAAATAATAAAAGCGAGCTAAAGGATCTGTTACTGTTCTGGAAAGGTGGGGCTCCTGGTTGGAGAGACTTGGACCTGGGGCAGCAGAATCGGTGGGGAAAGGATATAGTTTTGAATACAAAGAAAGCAAAAAGAAGTGCTATTTTCAGCAGTCCCTGGTTGCTTTAAAGTTCCCAGTGCCTGTAGGTTGGATTTGGGACTGCTGCTTTCCGGAGCTCTGTCCAATTTGTTAAGAGACTAAAGCCAGCCCATTTCTGATAATTTAGTAGGAGGAGTTCTCTCCCTTGAGCTGCCACTGATTTTTATTCAGACAACAAAGACCTGTCATACTCCCCTCAGCCCCTAGTGATGGCCAAGCAGTGACAAACGTTACAGTCGGGGCTGGGCTGGGGTTCGTTACCTCCCCCAAAACACGGAGTCCCGGGAGCTGGCGGCCGGGCCCGCTCCCCCGGGGGAAGCTCCGTCCC